CCTGAGAAGTCCTGCAGCCTTTTGAGGTAAATCTTAAAATTCCCAGGGCTTCCCTGGTGGCTCAGAGGGTAAAGCATCTGCCTGCAACGCGGGAGATCTGGGTTTGATCCCTGGGTTGGAAGATCCCCTGGAGAAGGGAATGGCTATCCACTCCAGTATTCTTGCCTGGAGAATCCCATGGACAGAGAAGCCTGGCAGGCTACAGTCCATGGGGTTGCAAAGAGTTGGACACAGCTGACTAACATGTTTCATTTTCTTAAAATTCCCATTTCACAGATAGGAAACGGGTTCAGAGAGATGAAGAAAACTGTCCAAGATCATCCTTAGAATCCAAAGTAGAGGGCCCAAGAATTTCCCTCTGACCTCTCAAGTAGGAAGCCTCTCTGCCTTAGACTGCCCAGCTGTTCAGAAGCAGAGTCACTTCCCCATCCCAGGCTCTGTTTCAGGCTCCTCGCCAGGATCACCAGTGCTCTCTCCTGCCCCCTTGTGTCAAGGATGACTCACTAATCCCAGATTTTCCTGTCCCGGGGGAACCAGACTCCAGACCTTCCTACAACTGGCCGTGGGGCCTGATTTGATGACCAGTTCAACAAAGCCCCAATTATTTGTTGGGCCTCCCAAGTGGCCCTATGCCTTAACACAGTCAAAATGATTATGATTCCTGGGAACTACTCTCTGGAATTTCAGGCATCGTGGGAATGAGAGGGAGAAGTGGAGGGTGATATTTTTAGTTAAGAGGGCCTTTGGACACTTGGCCAACTATGCAGTGATGTGGGTGGCTCTATACACTTCAAGAACTGCCAGTCTCTCCTAACAACTCACTACATACTTGTCGAGGGCCAGGAAGTGCCGAATGTGGCAGTTTGACTTTTTAGCTACTCTTTTGAAGCTACCCTTTGGAAGTTACCACTGTCCCTTTTAAATTTTATTCTTTTCTGAACTTCCAGTAGGCACAGTCCTAACTGCTAGGAATACGGCAATGAACACATCAATGTCCCAGCTATCTGAATTCCTTTCTAGAAGAAAGACTGGCAGTAGGTAAGTATATAACACAAGATCAGCTGCTGATAAGGGTTTTGAAGAGAAATAAAGCAGGGAAAGGAAATATACATAAAAATAAACAAATTTTTTTAAATGGAGAAATAGATAAGGAGAAAAGAAAATTTAAAAAGAGAAAAACTAATTTTAAAAAAGAAGAAAACAAGGAAAATAGAATGTGAAGAGGGATGATTGATAGGTAGAGGGACCAGGAAAGGCCATCTCAGGAGGTGGCACTTGAGCAGAGACGTGAATGGAGAAAGGAAGTCAGTCATAGGAGAACCTTCCAGACAGAACAACAAGCCCAAGTCCTCCAGAAAGCTGCCCATTCCATGTGTTTGAAGAATAGCAAGGAGACCACTGTGGGCCATGTAGAGCTTCAGAAAATGAATGAATGATCGAGCCCTGACGATTTTTTCCCCCAGTACTCTATATACAATGATGACTATAGGTCTCCTATTTCCCAGAAGAATTACAATTTTATGAATTCTATTCTTATAAAATGATTCACTGGGGTTGTAACAAAATGTGATTTGGTACTCATATTCTTGAAAGGTTTTCCATAATGAATATAAACTTCGCTGTCAGAAAGAATGTCCTTTATCATCTGTCTCAACTTGGGTTTCATAAAGCAAGTATTTAAAAAGTCATGTGTTTTATCTTTAACTTAGGCCCCTTCCTTTGAGACCTTGGCAATCCTCTAGGGTGAGAGGATGACCGAGGTCAATGGGTTTTAGTAAGAATAGACAAATATTCCCACTAGTCAGAAGAAAATCTACAAATTAGTTGAATTCCTCGGATTTAGATAGATTCAATGTCAACTAAGAAGAAGACGGCCTTAGGGGAGTAAAACAGTATCTTGGAGAAATTTCTACTGCATGTACCTTGGCAACAGCTCCATGGAAACAGACTGAAGTCTAATAAGGTCTATAGCAAGTGCCCACATTTTCTCATGTTAACTCTTGGAACTCAAGGTCATTTCTTAGCAGATAATTTGCAAGCCTGTCTCTTAACACTAGCCCAGTTGACAATTCAGGGGACTTATCTATCATCAGTCCTTGTCTGTGAAGGACTTCATGAAGCAGATTGATATAGAATATTGAAATATCCATAGAGTTATAAATAATATCAAGAGACTGACCTTGGTGTTTTTCAGGATCAACCATACAAACCACATATGGCTCTGAAAGAGAGATCCCATGCCTGCCCCCACCTGATTACACCCACCACGTCACCAGCTCACAATTTCCCACAGGCTGGAACAGGAGTTGTAAAGCATGAAACCTCTTTCTTTTTCATAAATATTCTGCAACCAGAATAAACCACAGTCGTGAATTTAGTCATTATTGCTGCCCAAGTTCTCTATGGCAGCAGTCCCCAACCTTTTTAACACCACAGATTGGTTTCCTGGAAGACAACTTTTCCACAGACTGGGTAATGACATGGGGTGGGGGACGGTTTCGGTATGATTCTCATAAAAAGCGTGCAACCTAGATCCCTTCCATGCATAGTTTGTGGCAGGTTCTTGAGCGTTCCTATGAGAATCTAATGCTGCCATTGATCTGACAGGAGGTGAGCTCAGGTGGTAATTTGAGCTATGGGGAGCAGCTATAAATATGGATGAAGCTTTGCTTGCTTGCTCACCTGCCTGCCGCTTACCTCCTCCTTTGTGGCCCATTTCCTAACAGGCCACAGACCAGTACTGGTCCATGGCCCCAGGGGTTGGGGACCCCTGCTCTATGGTATATGGTCAGATCACTTCAATTTGCTAGAAACATCACCTTGGAACATAAATTCCAGGAGGTATTTATTAAGTGCCTATTGGTCACTAGAATGTACGAGGGAAATGAGAAAAATGAGATCTCTCTCCCCGCTTTAAGGAGAGCCTTGACTGAAAGATTTTGGTAGATAGAAAATTATAAAACTGGGAGCAAGAGCTATGGGACTACAAATGCAAGAGCAGTTTACTGAAGGCTATGGAGTCAATGAGAATAACATACTGGAAGTGATGCTGGAGTGATCTTAACATTGCTCTGTGATCTCAAACACTCTAGTATCTCCTCCCTGCATTTCCACCTCTAGAAGCTCCCACTCAGGGCCAGCATTAGGTCCAAATATCAAGTAGACCAAGTCCTTTTTCATAACCCCATCTCCCTTCCCTGTTAGCACTCCTCAATGCTCAGCATGCTCACTCAGGGTCCTGGCAGGTAACAGCCTTCACTCTAGATGAGTCACATGAAGAAACTTCAGTGGAGGGACTCTACACAGAGCTGTGAGCAAGGTTACAGGAACAAATGAGGGGTGTTGGGGAACCCAGAAGCTAGCAGTTATAGGAAGCTGTTACCAGCCCTAGGGTTGTAGCGATGAGAGGAGCAAATAGTGTTCCTGAACCCCAATGGTAGCTAGAACCATGAAGAAGGGGCCATTCATGGAAAACTACATTGCGGAGGCACACAGCTATTATACTACCAGAGGCACTAGAGAAAGAGGGAAAAGAAGGTAATACCTCAACCTCGCTTTGCTCTCTGATTGCTCCCCCCCAGCGTCTCCTATTGGGTGAACCCAAACAAAAATCAGCCTGCGAGAGAGCCCGGGTGATGTCGTCTGTAGCAGTCAACCTCCCAGGACACAACACAGGGCAGAGAAGGATGCAGCGGAAGGAGCCGAGAGAAGGAGAGCCAGCACAAGGTGACCTTCCCTGCCCTTCAGAGATGACTGGTTCTATTTCTCATCCCGCCAGTTATCAAAGCGCCAAGCATCCACATCCAGAGACACTATGATTTTGTGGGAAACCCCGGGACTTGTGGCTGGGAAGACCTGCTGGTACTTCAGACTCTGTTCATTATGTGAGCTGAGTCCACCTCTCTAGGCCTGGATCTCCTCATCTGGAAATGCGGATATCGTCTGAGCCACAAGAGTTAGTTAGACCAACATATGAAAGATTATATTTAGGGGTTATTGTGGCCATATTATTGGTGAGTTCCTTGAGAATCAAATACAGGTAATATATAGGCCTTTTACGTTCTAGAAATATCACTCCTGCCCTCTTTTTATCCTCTCTTACCTTCACCCTCAATCTTTCCCATTTCTGACTTGAATGGTAGGACTTTTCTGGATTAAGTTTCTATGGAATTAGGACCTATGTCTATCCTGTCCACGATCATGTCCCCAAAAGTGCCAGCACATAGTAGGTCATCAAAAAACACACAGATGTTTTGAAAGAGCTCCTTCCCATCATGCTCACACATCGTTGCCTATGGTGGTAGCCCAGACATTGTCAGGCAACCCCCTGGGAATGCTGGACTCTAGCTGAGAAAGCAGTTGCTTAGAGCAGAGAAGCCTGTTGCTTCCAGCCCACCGGTCTTCTTGTGTATTTGGGGCAACCGAAAGCAACTGCTTCCCTAGTAACACAGGTTCCCCATAAAGTGAAAAACTCTTTCTACTAAGTTCATAACTCTTACACTCAGTACAAGAGTTCAGAACCATGGTTTTATCTTTCTGGGATCTTATATTACAGGCAGGGCTTGTGGTGAGGAGGATAAACAAATAAATGTGAACAATGGATCTGCTCTACTATTCAGTGGCCCCGAAACCCTGACCACGCCCTCATGAGACTCACCAAGCTAGTAGGGAGGAAAAACAAAAGTAAAAGAAAAGACAGGAGCAGAAAAGAAAGTGAACAACATTCAGAAGGGAAGTAGGAAGTGAGGAAGTTACCCAGAGGGTCTTTCCAGAATGGCTTCCAAGCCCTCAGAGAAGGTGGGTAACATCAAGATCCTACACACACGAACTGGAAACCTGTACAGCTTTCCAGTTCATCGCTCCGACAAGTCCTGGGTTGAATAAACACACTTTTCTGCCCCTGGTTTCTTCATTTCACCAGGAGTTTTAGGAAGACAAGCTGTTTCCCAGAGGCTCCCTCAGCTGGGGAGTTTGAAGCAAAGAGAACTTGGGGTACTCACGAGCATCGCTGAGCTTCACCATTAATACAATGATGAGAGGCAATAGGAGCATCATCAGCCCCTCTAAAATCCTTTTCTTCTGATTCTTTTAACTAAAACACTGACAGGTCCCTGTTGATCTTTCAAGAACCTGTACTGTATCAGCTCTCTCAGTTTTTGGCGATTCAGCAACTGAGACAGTCAAGGGCTCTCTCCCAGTCAAAACAGTGGAAATGTTTGTGTCATCAGTTGCTAGGTAGAATAGAGAGCATGAGAGCCCTAAAGCACCGCCTTCCCCAGTGACCTTTAACCCTTTGTCGGTCTGAGGCCCTGATTGCTCCTTTTGCTGTTCCTATCTTGGTCCTGTTACCAACTTCTAAATATTTATGGAGCACAGCTATAAGAAAGACACAGGGAGCACAAAGATGAATCAGTTCTGGTCCCCCAGGGAGCTCAAAAGAAAAAGAAGGCTTTGTTTATTCCCTGGATCTTAGATTTCACCCAAGGTCCATGAGAAAGAGTCACACAAAGTTCCCAGGACTTGTTGTGGCTTCCTGTAATGCTGCAGTCCACATGTCTGATATAATATGTATCCCCTAGACTATCCTGTCATTTTTAGCTTACATCTATCTTCCATGCTGCTCTAGCACCCCCAGCCCAAGAGCTCAAAAATGCTCACTGAATAAAGGAGACCTGGGCCTTAAGATTCTGAGGAGCAGCCGGCTTGGATTCCTCGATTAGCAAACCTCAGCACAAAGCCACAGCTGTATACATGGTCATCGGGAGAACACAATGATGCGGGAAACAGAGGCGTAAGCGTGTTCAGGGAGCTGGAGGACAGGCCCAGACAGGAGAGAGGCTGCAGAGATGAGCAGGAGATGAGTGGAAGCAAGGCCACCAGGCAGGCTGGCTTGGGTTCCTGCTCAGGCACCTGGATGTTTGCATCCTAGCTACTTGACCTTGTGCAGAATCCCAAATTGTGTTGAGGCTCAGTTTCCTCAATTTATCTATTTTGCTTTTAAAACTTTTTCTTTTGTATTAGGGTATAGTTGATTAACAAGCTATGTTGTGATAGTTTCAGGTAAACAATGAAGGGACTCAGCCATGCATATTCATGTATCCATTCTCCCCCAAACTCCCCTCCCACCCCAGACTGCCACATAACATTTAGCAGAGTGCCCTGTGCTATACAGTACATCCTTGTTGGTCATCCATTTTAAATATAGCAGTGTATACATGTCCATCCCAAACTCCCTAACTATCCCTTCCCCCCATCCTTCCCTATCGGCATCAGTCTTCTCAACTTTAAAAGCAAATCCTGGCATATATTTCACAAGGCTTGTTGAAGATTTAGATGAGGTTATGTTTACAGCGTACACGATGGATAGTAGAACATATCAGTTTCCTTCTGCAGTAGGCGGAATAACATCCCCTTCCTCACCTCAAAGATACCCATATTCTAATTTCTAAAATATGTGAATATATTACCTAGCATGGCAAAAGGGACTTAGCAGATAAGATTAACTTTAAAATATTGAGATGGAGAGATTATCCAGGATTATCTGGTGGGTCCAATCTCAAGGGTTTTATAACATTGAGACAGTCTGTAGAACTGGAAAGAGAAAGAAGAGATTCTCTCCTAGAGCCTACAAAAGGAACACAACCCTGCCATCACTTTCATTTTAGCCCCTGAGAGCCACTTTTGGACACTTGACCTCCAGAACCGTAAGAGAATAAATCTGTGTTGTTTTAGGGCACTTAGTTTGTAGTGATTTGTTCTAGGAGCAGCAGAAAACTACATGTCCTCCATCTCCCAAAAGAAAAAAGCCAAATAATGAAATAATGATGATCTTTAGCAACTCTCAGCATCTCCTAGCACCTTCTCTTCTCGGACCTTTGTGTTTCTTCCTTTCCTTTCTCCTTCCCTTCTTTTTCCTTCCCTTAATTTTTCACTTAACAAATGTAGGGCACCCCTGTGCCACTCACTCTCAGAGCCCCCAACAGTCCCGGGGATCTCGCACTAGCACTGATGTCCCAGAGCAGTGAATTTATTTCTTCCTTTGAATTTCTGTTCATATCTTGTTACAAAACTGCATACTGTACTGCAGTCTGCAGCATTTACATTAGAAAGTAGGTGTGGTAACCGTGCCTTTCATTTTTAACTCATTTTATCCTAAGTGCAAATTAACAAATACAATCCAGAAAACTTGAAAGCACATAAAAAATCAGAGTAATAAGATCAAAATAATTCTTCAGAGAAAGCCAATGTTAACATTTTAGTATATGTCTTTTCAGTGCTTTGCTGTGACTATATATGTATGTATACAAACACACTTTGGGGGATTCATTTTACCAAAAGAGAGTTTCACATCCTAGTATTATTTTGTAATTTATTTTTCACTTAACAATTTCCCAGTACCAACATGCATTTTTATGGCATAGCCTTAATAGTCTTAAAATTTTTAAGTAAATGGATTTAATAAGTGTCAGTATCTTAAAGGACAAGTGAAGACTGCCCGACTAAGCTGGGAAGCATTGGAGTGAGAAGTGTCCTATTCATTCCCCTTGGGAACTAGCTCTACCTTTGAGCAATTGTCTAATCCTTGAACCTCAAGCTGTATTTGTCAGAGTAGTTTGTGTTTATCTTATTTACTATGGATCTATGTCTTTGGTTTTCAAACACTGTTTTATTATATTTATCTTGAGGCCCTTCTGAAGAATCTGACCCATTTGCAATGGGACAAGTCATCCTCAAAAGCCAAAAGACAAATTATTAAGTTAACAAAAAAGTCTAATTCATTAAATATATTGTGACAGGGAGGCCTGGAGTGCTGCAGTCCATGGGGTCATGAACAGTAAGATACAACTGAGCTAATGAACTGAACTGATTGTTTTCAATGTACTGTAGTGTATTTTATCCCATTCAATTAGTTTCCTCTGGGGTGTTTTAAGAAGTTCAACAGGGGTGTGTGTGTGTGTGTGTCTGCATGTGCCTGCATTATGTCTGTGAAATCTGATTTGAGCCATTTTCAGTGGTTAGGTAAAATCCATTCACCAATTTTGGGACAAGGCTAGCCCTTGTACAAATGATCAGTAAAGTACTATAGCAAAGAACATGGGTTTAGGAGTCAGACAAACTTATCTTCAAGTGGGGCTCTGCCACTTCCTACCTATGAGACCTTAGACAAATCATCAACCTCTCCAAGCCTCAGGTTTCTCTTGTGGAATATGGAGGTCATAACAATATCTGCCTTACAGAGTTGTGTGGATTTAGTGCAATCAGCAGTGATGGAACCAAGAGGTGATTTGTCACTTCTTGGTACTTCTGTTATTGTTGTTTAGTTGGTAAGCTGTGTCCAACTCTTTTGTGACCCCATGGACATAGCCCAGAAGGCTTCTCTGCCCATGGAATTTTCCAGGCAAGAATACTGGAGTGGTTGCTATTCCCTTCTCCAGGGGATCTTCCTGACCCAGGGATCGAACCTGTGTCTCCTGCTTGGTGCATGTGTGCTGAGTCACTCCAGTTGTGTACATTTCTTTGTGATGCTATGGACTGTAGCCCACCAGGCTGCTCTGTCCATGGGATTCTCCAGCCCAGAATACTGGAGTGGGTTGCCACTTCCTCCTCCAGGGGATCTCCTGACCCAGGGATTGAACACACCTCTCTTGCATCTCCTGCATTGGCAGACAGGTTCTTCACCACTAGTGCCACCTGGCAAGCCCCTCTTGGGACTTTAGAGCATCATTACCACACACACATAATTACCATCCCAAATAACCCATAATTTCAAAAAATACACTGGGTCTGCCATCTAATGTCAGTTCAAGTCTCCTAGCCCTGTTGTCCAAAGAAGTTACGTTCTAAACCTGCCCCATGTAGAAATTTTGGAGCCATTTCTGAAGAGTATGCATGTATATTACTTAGCACAATGTCCGGTCCATAGTAAGTAAATGTTAGCAATCGTTATAACTACTGCTGTTACTCCAGGATGCTCTGTCCATGGAATTTTCTAGGCAAGAATACTGGAGTGGGTTGCCATTCCCTTTTCCAAAAGAAGATATACAAATGGCCAATAAGCCATTTGTTTACTTATATAGAATAGAATCTACCAAGTGAGATTGTAGTTTTTCCTTCCCTGTGCACTAACAAATTCATAGAAGAGGGCAAATGTCATAATTGCCTTTCAACAATGGTTTGAGTTCACTATTTTATCAAGAAGTTGAGGGTTCCCTTGGTGACTCAGTGGTAAAGAATCCGCCTGCCAATGTAGGAGGTGCAGGTTTGATCCCTGGCCCAGGAAGATTCTATGTGCCTCGGAGCAGCTAAGCCGGTGCACCACAACTATTGAGTCTATGCTCTAGAGCCTGGGGAACCACAACTACTGAGCCCACAAGCTCTAGAGCCTGTACTCCACACGCGAAGCCATCACAATGAGAAGCCCACACACCACAACTAGAAAGTAGCTCTCACTCGCTGCAACTAAAGAAAAGCCCACGCAGCACCAAGGACCCAGCAGAGTCACAAATAAATAAATAAATTTTAAAAGTTCATTGAATTTCAATAGTATAAATTAACTTTGCGAACTCACTAATATCCATTTATTCATACACTCTTAACCTGTCTTATTCTAAAAGGGATTTAAAACTGCTAACCTTTGTTATACTTTTGCATATGTGGTCTCTTGACTTTCTCACTTTTCTTTCTTCAGTTTTTGTTTCTATTTTTTACTTTTTATATTTCTGATTATCCAAGTATATACTCCATTATAGAAAATGGTCAAACTTTAAGTACATTTTCTTTTTTCTATGTGTAAAAGTGTTTCTTTATATAAAAATGAGCAGAATTGAAATCATATTATAAACATAATATTGTCTTGCTGTTTTCCATATATATTACACAATTTTAAACATTTTTGGTGGACCATCAAAGGGATGTTTCATAAGTCGTTAATCACTTTCTTGTGTTAGATATATAAGGAAAGAAAACACAACTTGCATGTGGAAATTCCCTATGGTTGGTGCTGGGAAATGTAGACATAGCCAGGTCAATGGATGCCAACAAGAGTCAGTGTCTTCTGGAATGCTCCAGAACAAGCACATGTATCTCAAGGTTTTTAAAAGATTGGGATAAAGATGAAGAATATAATACCTAACGTCTACATAGCACTTTTGTCCCGTACTCA